ACCGGGAAAGATTCTAACCTGCATCAGTCTCAGGCAGGAGCTTCATGGCATCGTGACTCTGCCCTTCTTCCTCCCAGCATTCAGTTCTATCTCCCTGCCTACCTAAGTGCTTCCCTATCAAAAGGCCAAGGCAGTTTCTTTAGTCAACCAATGAAAGCAACACACAAACAGAAGGAACTCCTACACCATAAATTTTCCAGACAAAATTCAATCCATGTCAAAGGGTACTGAGAAATTATCTAAATAAACTTAGACTATTGAATTTGGCAAGCAAAATCTGTTTAAAAGATCTGATGGGTTGGAGTATCTCTCCAGGAAGGCAATCTGCATGCTGTCCAAATAATGTCCAAGGACGAGATGTTATATTTAAAGAAAAAACTTCATACCATGGAGTCACATGTGCAGAATGAGGATCAGAGGCTAGGTGCATCAATGAGATCACTAGAAATATCTACAGGCCATGAGATTCAGGCTTTAAAAAAGAACAATAGTAAAAAGACTTGGAACAATTGAGGAAATTATAAGAGCTGATAAGTAAGGAGAGAAGGTAAAAGGACAGGATTTAGTATCACCAGTACGTGTCAGAGTCAGAGGTGGCCTACCCAGGGTTTTAGCTTCCTACCCTATAATCACCTCTGAAAAAGCATCAAGCTCTAAAGGCTCAAAATGATGCAAAGAATGTAGATGGATACCTATAGGTATGAATGATCTAAAAGAAATTAATCAAGCAGAGTATATTATGGCTTGCATTAACCATTTGTTAGAGAGATAGTAAAGACATGGGTTTCCAGCAATAAGGCTACCCCACACAATTGGCTTGAATTAGTTTCAGCAGTCTTGGAAGATGGACCACAGCTACTAAAGAAATGTTAGGACAAAAGGCAAAATTTTACAAAAGCAGGGAAAAGCAAAAGGACTTGAGACTTCCCTAGATCAAATTCTTAGCGAGGGCACTTATGCTGACTCACAGGCTCAAGCTCTTTATGATGAACAAATCTTGTCCCTATGCCACAAAGCAGCCTTAAATACTTTGGACAGGATTCAAGAACCAGGAAAATTAATTAAATCATATACCAGGATTAAACAGGGCCAGAGAGAACCCTTTAGTGACTTTTTATAAAGATTAACTAAAGCTGTACAAATAGGAGTAACAGACCCAGATGCTAGATGAGTACTTATTGAATCTCTGGATTTTAAAAATGCCAACTTAGAAAGTAAAAAGTTACTTGGGCCTTTAAAGGTTAGATCAGTACCAATGGATGAATGGATCCTGCACACAATGAACATTGAGACATTTGACTATAATACTGAATCTTGGGTAGGAGAAGCAATTTCCAAAGGATTGAAGAAACATCAAAAGACCAAATGTCTTAATTGTAGTAGAATAGGACATCTGAGAGGGGATTGCAGACAAAGAATTCTTAGAAATAATGTCTCCTTTGGGAATGGTAAAAATAGAAGATCTCAGCCTTCTGGTTTATGTAGATGATGTAGTAAAGGCTGACATTGGACTAATGAATGTAGATCAATAAAAGATGGATAAGGCAACCTGATACCATCAGCAAACTCCTTGGGGGACCTCTTACAGGCCCCCAAGTCAAACGTGGTCCAGTCATTCCCAATCACTGTAGAGGATATATCTCACCAGGAAAATTAAAAAAAAATCCACTGCCTGCTGTAAAAAACCATACTGTTCCAGATGATGGAATAAACATGAAGGATGAATCAAAATTTCCAATAGGAAATAGGAAGCATATATTTTGGCAGACTTCTATAAATGATCAAAGACTAAACCTAGAAGTGCATATAAATAACACTGTAATTGAGGGATTACTAGACATGGGTGTGGATGCAAGAATCATTACTCCATGTTCATAGACATGGAGTAATGACTTGCTCTTTGGACTGGAGAGGGAGGGGGAGAGGAGTGGGGGGAGGGGGAGAAGGGTGGGAGGAGGGGGAGAAGGGTGGGAGGAGGGGGAGTGATGTGGGAATGTCATATATCAATCTGTTGATTTCATTGGTTAAGCAATAAAGAAACTGCTTGGCCCTGTGGGTGGAGTAAACAGAACAAAATGCTGGGAGGAAGAGGAAGTGAGGTCAGACTCCACAGCTCTCCTCTCGGGAGCAGACGCCTGAGAGAGACGCCATGTCCCGCTCCCGGGATGAAGCTCCGACCCAGGATGGACATAGGCTAGAATCATCCCGGTAAGCACACCTTGGGGTGCTACACACAGATGATTAGAAATGGGCTAAATTAATATGTGAGAATTAGCCTAGAAGAGAATGGGCCAAGCAGTGTTTAAATGAATACAATTTGTGTGTTGTTATTTCGGGCATAAGCTAGCCGTGCGGGAGGCTGGGGTGCTGGGGATGCAGCCCCGCTGCCCTTATTACTACAGGGGAGGGAAATGGGAGGCTGGAAGGAGGCAGAAACTTGTTTTTTTTTTCCTTTTCTCAATAAAAAAAAAAAGAATCATTACTCCAGAATATTGGTATGCGAATCGGCCTCTTTAAGAAGCAGATGCTCAATTCCTAGGAATTGGAGCCCTATCTCAAGATGGGTTGAATGCATAGGGCCAGAAGAATAGAGAGGAAGGTTAAAACCATATATGACTAATATTGCAGTGAATTTATGGGGTCATGACCTGATGCATCAATAAAATACCGATTAAAATTTCTACAGTCCTGGAAACTCATGTGTCTGGGAAGGATATTATAAGACACTATAAACAAAAGTTACCAGCCATTCAGGCTGTACAAAAACACATAGTAACTAGCAATCCTTTAGATTGTGACAGCAATCTGAACCAACAACCCTATCTTTAAAATGGTTAACTGAGAAACCAATATGGGTTAAACAATGGCCTTTAACAGAAGAGAAACTGTAGACTTTAGAACAGCTGGTACAGGAGCAACTAGATGCTCACCATATTGAAGAATCAGCCAGCTGTTGGAATTCTCCTGTATTTGCTGCTAAAAAGAAACCTGGAAAATGGATATTGATGACAGATTTAAGAGCTGTCAATAAGGTAGTTCAACCTATAAGCCCTCTACAATCTGGAACGCCTCTGCTTTGTCTATTACCAAAAGGGTTGCCTCTTATAGTTATTGATTTAAAAGATTGTTGAATAACCTGACCCTGTGCGAATACTTTGTAAATCAGCCTTTGGAAATAATATATAAGCAGTTTCCTAAGTCTATAATTTACCATTACATGGATGACATTTTGCTATATGATTCAAATGCAGATACCTTAGAAAGAATGTTTGAAGAAGTAAATAAAGTTTTGCCATAATGGGGATTACAAATTGTTCCTGAAAAAATACAGAAAGGAGATTCAGTCAATTACTTAGGTTATAAAATAGGTTTACAGAAAATTAGAACACAAAAGACACAAATTAGGAGAGACTGATTGTGGACTCTTAATGACTTTCAAAGATTGTTAGGAGACATTTCCAGTCTATGACTGACTGCTGGGGTAACACCTGATTTAATAGTTCATTTAAACAAAACCTTAGATGATGATAAAGACTAAAATAGTCCCAGAGAATTAACAGCTAAAGCAGAAAAAGAACTGACAGCTGTTGAAGAGAAATTACAGGACATTCATGTTGCTAAGACAGATCTGAATCTTAACTGCATTCTAGTCATATTTCCTTCCAGAATTTCTCCTACGGAAATTTTAATGCAGAGAGAAGATATTATCTTAGAATGGATCTTTTTACCAAATAAACCAAGTAAAAAATTAAAAATGTATGTGGAAAAGGTCTCTAAATTATTTATAAAAGGAAAATTGAGACTTCATCAACTATCAGGGGTAGACCCAGCAGAGATTACTAATGAAATTTTAAAAATTATGGGAAGACAATGAACCCTGGAAAAGAATTTGTGCTGTTTTTAGGAGAAATTAACAGCAATTATCCCAAAAGTGACAGTATAAAGAGAACTACTTGAATCCTTCCCCGCACTGTAAAGGACACACCAATAACTGGAGACTGTACCTTTTATATTGATTGAAATAAATCAGGAAAGGCAGGTTACAAATTAGAAGATTTAAGTAAGGTGGAACAAAGCCCTTATAATTATGTCCAAGGTAGAATTTATGCCATTCTCATGGTACAAAGGGATTTTAAAAAACCTCTCAATATAGTTACTGATTTGCAATATGCAGAAAGAGTTGTCTTGCATATTGAAACTGCTGAATTTATACCATATGATATAGAATTGACTTCATTACTCATATAGGTTGAACATATAATCAGGAATAGGCTTTGTTCCATATACATAACACATATCCCATATAGGTTTGCCAGATCCTCTAGCACAATGTAATGCCGAAATTGATCAATTACTGATTGAAAATGTGCCAAAGACCTCAGAATTTCATTAAAAAAATATCATGTCAATACCAAAGGTTCAAAGAAAGAGTTTCCTATTACATGGCAACAATCTACGGAGATTATAAAGAGATGTCTTACTTGCTCTTTCTATGATCAAACACCACTATCGCAGGGAATAATCCAAAGGGTACTCAAAGGAATGAAATCTGGCAGATGGATGTGTTCTACTTTGAAGATTTTGGAAAACTAATATGTGTGCGCCACACCATTTACACTTATTCAGGTTTTCAATAGGCAAATGCTTTGAGCTCAGAAAATGCTAATTCAGTAATCATGCATTTATTAGAAGTTATGGCCATCATTGGTATACTTGCACAAATAGACAGTTAATGGGTCCAGCATATGTCTCTAAGAAAATGAAATAGTTTTTTTTTGCTTATTATAATATAAAGCATATTATAGGTATATCACACAATCCTACAGGTCAGGCAGTTATAGAAAGATCAAATTGAACTGTAAAAGATATGTTAAACAAACACAAAGAGAAGGAAAATATCCCCAGAACTACATTGCCTACTGCTTTATTAAACTTGAATTTTCTTATCGCTATTGAGAAAGGAACAACAGCAGCAGAAAGACATTGGATAATAGAAAAACCTTCTGAATTAAATCAGACAGTTTATTTCAAGGATGTGTTGACCTCACAATGGAAATCAGGAGATGTGCTACATTGGGGAAGGGGTTTAGCTCTTGTTTCCACAGGAGAAGAAAAGTTATGGATACCATCAAAATTAATAAAGATTTGGTATGAAAAAGAGAAACATCTTGAGAAAAAAAAATGATAGCTCATCCACAAAGGTGACAACTATACAGGTGGCAAGGAAACCTCACAAGGGTTGCAGCAGGATTCTCTTCTTGTCTTTGCAGGAAAATACTTATCTTCAAAAAGTTAAGAGACCCTGGACATCTAGATGCCTAAAGAGGAAAAGATAACTATCCAGATAGGATCACCAAGCAAAAAGAATTATGACTTCTGAGGATAAGAATACACACACACACACACACACACACGTGTGAGGGGAGTGGGTGGGTGGGTGTGGGTGGGCGCACACATGCATGCACGTGTATGCTACCCAGTAGAGTAATAGTCTGGTGTAGGAGGTACTTCTGTATGTGTGTATCTTTTATTGGTAAATGAATAAAGAACTGCTTTGAGTCTGTGGCAGGGAAGAACAGGACTATGCGGGGAAAGGTAGGCTGTATGCTGGGAGAAAGAAAGGTGGAGTCAGAGAGACGCCATGGAGCCACCAGAGTCAGACATGCCAAATTGTTGCTGGTAAGCCACTGCCATGTGGCAATATTACAGATTAATAGAAATGGGTTAAATTAAGATATAAGAGTTAGCCAATAAAAACCTAGAGATAATAGTCCAAGAAGTGTTTTAATTAATATAGTTTCTGTATGGTTATTTTGGTTCTGGGTAGCCAGGATGAACAAGCGGCCCATCCTCCTATAATAGTCATGACTCACTTAAAAATCAAAGCTGGCGCCAGGCGATGGTGGTGCACGCCTTTAATCCCAGCACTCGGGAGGCAGAGGCAGGCGGATCTGTGTGAGTTTGAGACCAGCCTGGTCTACAAGAGCTAGTTCCAGGACAGGCTCCAAAAAGCCACAAAGAAACCCTGTCTCGAAAAAAAAATAATCAAAGCTGGCTTTGGAGTTGGACAATGGCTCTGTCCTTCTCTAAATCCAAGCATGTTGTTATAAGAAAAATTCAGTGTTTCTGTCTTATGTCAGGAGTCATTTGGTATAGGATAGAAAGAATTTAGAAAAAAGTTTACTTTTCTTCATACCTATTTTTTCTCTACTATATTTTTCGTTGAATATATGTCTGTAGGCCCATATTTCTACATGGTATGACCTATAAGCGCTTGGGAAGTTATTCTAGAAAAAAAATAAAGTTAAGCATGGCTTCTTAATAAAAACATTTTTTTCAGGTGGGCTCTGCTTGCTAGAAGCAAGTGCTCTCATTTCAGAGGGGCTTCCTGACTCAGCTTTAGCTGCAAAACCTTGCAGCTCTTTTAAGAGGTCCTGTCACAAAACACTTACATGGTGTTAATAAAAAGCTGATTGCATAGTTTTTGGTGGAATTGTAGCAATAAACATGGTCATGGCCTCCATGGTCATGGCCTCCACCATGAGGATGAAATTTCCAAAAGCTAAAAAATGGGCTGGATCCAGCTGTCAAAGCCACAGCTTTAATCCTAGCCACATTGCTAAACAAATTAAAAACTCACCTGGTGAAAAAAAGAGATATATACAATAAAGATAGATTCAGATAAAAAAAACTCTAAATGATTTATGGTGTATTTAAAAAATATGTGTAGGCTTGAGAAAAATGGATAAAGTCCTTAAAATAAAAAGAGAATAGTTTGGCATGGTGGCACACACCTTTAATTCCAACACTTGGGAGGCATAGGCAGGTGGATCTCTGTCAGTTCAAGGACAGCCTGGTCTACATAGTGAGTTCCAGGACAAAGATACACAGAGAAACCCTGTCTCAAAAAGTCAAAAATTAAAAATAAAAAGAAATAACAGTTTAAAATAAGCCATGTAAAATGGAAAACACAGAGAATCTGGATACTGTATGTTATGCTCTCTTTGAGTTGTTTAAATGCTGAGGAAGGAACAACAGCTGCTAAGAGATATTTGTTTATAAATGCTGCTCAATTAATCGAAGATAGGTATTTTGAAAATACCTTGACTTCAAAATTGAAATCAAAAGATATGTTACGTTGGAGAAGAGGTTTTGCTTTTGTTTCCACAGGAAATGAGAGGCTGTGGATTCATTCTGGGTTAAGAAAAAAATCAGGTTTGATGAAGGAAGACCACCTGGGAAATCTCCATTAGGAGCAAATGGCCCAGATGTCTGAGCTCTACATCTAGAACAGATTCAAGACTGCTGCCTGAGATGATCAAGCCTCACAGAATTTTCCAGTCAGGACTTGATCATAATTCTAAATTTTCTTTAGGTCCCCATAAGATTATCAGTGCCCCCAATCAGCAGGAAGTAGCCTGGAAAACTTTACTCATATTCCTGTTCCTCATTCTTGCAGAGGACTGTGATGTGTGAGTCTACCTCTAAATAAATAACCCTTTATTATACTCAATTCTGAGCTAGTGTGGGATCATTTTTGAGCATCCATCTTAAATATAATTTATTTCTGAAAAGTGAATGTATGAAAGAGGCATGGACAGTTGTTCCTGTTTCCCATAGTCCAGGTTCTGTCATCCCCTCAGGCCTGTGGAAGCCCTCAGAGAAAGAGCTGAGTAAGGATAAGGCAGGCTGGTATGGCTGGCTTCCACATTGTCTTTCCCATGTTTTATGAAAGAGCATCTCACTATATAGCTTTTGCTTGCTTGAAACTCACTATGTAGACCAAGTAGGCCTTGAACTTATAGACCTTTTTGACTCTGCCACCTGAGCACAGGGGTTAAAGGTAACAATTAGTATATAAACACAAACATATCATTTCAATGTTACATATTATTTGTAAATACAATTTTTTAATTTCAGAGGTAAATTTATAACAGAATATAATTTTGAAATTAATTGAGTCTAACACCAAACTTCCTCTATATTTATGTACAATCTTTAATAACGCAGTATGCTCCGAGACTTCACAAAACAGGATCTCTCCCAGCTTGAGGCTACATAATCAATGCTGGAGACACTTCTGTGAGTGAATAAATAATGAAGTTCTACCAGAAAAGCTGAGAGTTAACAGAAGTCTTCAACAAAAAGAAAGCTACAAATGATCTTGAAATTAAATGAGAATTTTCATCTACTAAAAATGTTTTTAAAAGAGAAAGACAATGTGGATTGGCTTCAGATACAATTATTTGACTATAATTTTGCAGAAACTTCTGAGAAAAGACCTCTTTATGCTTGCCAACTTTGCATTGATTCCTGTAACAAGAGACAAGTGAATGTGCGATATTCTGTAAATGAAGACTTTGTTAGGGTTACTACTGCTATCATGCAACACCATGACCTAAAAAGCAACTTGGAGAGAAAAGGGTTCCATGTAACAGTTCAGTATCAAAAGCAGTGAGGGCAGGAACTTGAGGACAGGAACCTGGAGACGGATCCAATGCACAGGCCATGGGCAGGTGCTGCTTACTGGCTTGTTCTTCATGCCTCACTCAGCCTGCTTTCTTATGGAACCCAGGACCACCAACTCAGGGAAGACAGCACCCAGCAGGGCTGCACCTTCCCACATCAATCATTAATTAAGAAAATGTTCTACAGGTTTGCGAACAGCCTGATCTTATGGAGGCATTTTCTCAATCAGGGTTCCCTCCTCTCAGATGACTACAGCCTGTGTCAATTTGACATAAAATTAATCAGTACAGCAAGATAACATTTCCCATTACTCTGTTACTTATTCTAAATAATGTCAGGAATATTCCTGCAAGCAGTTAAGAACATATTTATAAAAATATACATAGTCATGGTTGTTTAAAAACAGACAGTGTCATTTAAATCATGAAGCTCATCAATTCAAACTAGTGTGGAGAACGTCTATAACACCTAGTCAAACAATGAAACAAACTATCAAGCAGTAAATGTGTCACCAGGACCTTACTGTTCTAAATACATGTGAACACACATGCATCCAAATGGTTACCCACACGGACACAAAAAGAATGCATATAACCCAAGTAGGATGTTCACAAAACTTTAAAAAATTGTCATGCTTCATGCAACAGAGTGATCTTTTACATTACTATATGTTTAAATGTTTTTCTTCAAATAAAATATACTTCCGTGTTTTAAATATGCATACATACTTGTGGTAAAATATATATGTATATAAATGCATATTTATCAGTACATCTGCTACACAGTTTGAGAGTATTTCAACCCCATAGTGTGTTTGTGTATCTTATAAATCTAGGACCATCACTGTGCCTTCTCTGAGCAGCTGAACTGGGAGACCATGGAAGGGGCTTCTGAATGGCTTTACTATCACCTAGAAATGTGCTCAGAGTTTCTCAGTAGCAGAAACCGATTAATTTTGTGCATTTTTCATTGCAAAAGCTCTTCACAAACCCGCATTATCTTTTAAGTATTCAAGGATGAATAAGATAATGTTGACTTTTAGATTTCTTTCTAATGCAAGCTTCATGTTGTACCAAACACATACAAATACTGGTTATGCAAGATGAAAAATCACTCAGAAAATAAGTTTTATTGTTTTTTTTTAAATGCCAAAACACTTAATGTGGTCTGTTTTGTTATTTGTGCTACTTAGAGTGAAGAAGAAAAACCAAAACACTGCCACAGGGGTACATACAAATAATTCCAGCACTTGGGAGGTGGGGGCAAGAGAATAATGAGTTTTGCAGTCAACTTTGGGTATATAATGACACAAGTGCTGTCACATTTTTGCAGTGAAAATTCAGTGACATTTAGGCTCCATCACTGGGACAAGTGTGTGTCAGGCCCCACATACCTGGTCTGAACTACAAAGAAACACAAGGAGTTCCTAGACTGCTGAAACAGAAGAACACATTACTATAGCACATGAATATAACAAAAGTCTAAACACTGAGGACAAAAGAAAGTTCTTTTGTTATGGAGAAAAACTTTCATTAATTCATTAATTCATTCAGTCCCCTCTATTTATTGAACACTAGCATCTACCACAGTATTAAACTGTAAGTAACACTAGTGCCCAGAGTAAACAAGATCTTTCTTAATTGGCACACAGTTTAAATGGACATTGACAAAATAATATATTTAATTATAAGACAGAATGTACTCTAAAGGAAAACTGAAGGACATTACTGGCAAAAATAACAGTTGACATGATTTAGAAACAGGAAGGAAGATTATCTAAAAATATATTTCAAGTGATACCTAGGAAGGGCCACTTCTCACCAAGGACAGGTAAGCAGCCTGAAAACTTGCAGAGGTGAGACAAAGAGTGGGTTACAAAGGTCTTTAGGTGGATGAGAGCCTGGCAGCTTTGAGTAGCAGAGAAAGAAGGGGCCATATTGAGGTCATTTAGGCCACAAGGAAAATTTCAGAAATAAACACTTCATACAATTTAAATAACTTATTGTAGAATATTAGAACTATTCTATTTACTATTGGTTATCACTTACTGTACCTAATTTATGGATTAAATACTTACAGGAATGTATGTCTCTAAAACCACAATATATACCAGGTTTAGTCATGATTTATAAAGTAAGATTGAATTCCCTGTTATGTCCTGTATATTGTAAACTGACATGTAGCATGTACTGGCCAAAGGAGGGTTTGCCTATCAGCAAATTTCAGGATACACATTGAGGCAAATAATGTCTTTATCCAGGGCTTTAAAAGCACACTCCCAGCTTTATAGTGAAATCTATTTAACTTAAAAATTACTGTTAGCTGGGCAGTGGTAGTGCATGCCTTTAATCCCAGCATTCGGGAAGCAAAGGCAGGCTGACCTCTGAGTTTGAGGTTAGTCTGGTCTACAGAGTGAGTTCCAGGACAGGCTTCAAAAACTGCAGAGAAACCCTGCCTCAAAAAACAAAACATTTAAATTTTATGTATAAACATAATAACATATGCTTACCTCAAGCATTCAGCATCATGTTGAGGCTTTTCTTTGACTTTTAATTTTTCTGCCTCTAGGTATTTGGTGGTATAAATGACTTCAGTCTCTTCATCTTTAAGAACTAAACAATTAAGAAAATTTCTATAATCATTTAAGAATTGAACAAAAAGTTATCTTTAGTCATTCATGAAAAACTTTATTTTTGTGTTGTATGTATATCAAATACATATAAAAATAATTTTTATTTTCTAATTTGACATAGCAATTTAGATTATGATTATCAGCACTCCCCAGGCCTGGTGGTGCAGGTCTGTACTTGCAGCTATTCAAGAGGCTAAGGCAGGAGAGCTGCAAGTTAGACAAGATGGCACTGAAGGTTACAGCTCAGGGCAGAGTGCATGTGTGGCTGGTGTCAGGCCTACACTCAATCTCCAGAACTCAGACAAATTACAGCTGCAACACTAACTAATTCAGTTGTGTGTTTTATACACTACATCTGTACGACAGCAGAAGCACCAACCACCAGGACAAGGAGTCTTTAAATACCAACCCATCACAGTCCTATGCATAACACTGTATTTGATAGCAGGATAAATGGACTCATGCAGCTTATACCTTTAAGTTTTTTCTGGACAGTAAATAATTCTTGTAGCAGTCGACGCTTTTGTATTTGAAGTTCCTGTAACTGGCCACTGTTCCACTCCATTGACTTCATTTCTATAAACAAATTATCATCAAAAAGTTACCCAGGAATAATTTTAGTCAAAGAGGCTAACAATCTATACACTGAAAACCATCACTGATGAGAGACAATAAAGGCACGACTAAACAGAAACAGCCCTATTCATCAATCAGAATCAATACTTTTAAACTACTCAAATTCCCCTGGGCAATATACAAGTGCTATGCCATCCCAACAAAATCTCTAACAGCATTATTCCCTGAAATAGAAAATACAAAACTGGAAAATAAGAAACAAGTGGAAGAAGCATTCAGGTTTTGGTGTAATTAAATATGGCATCAATGATTGACCTTTTGTTCTTCAATAAAATTCTAGGCAGCATATGGTCAATTTCAAGTCCCAACTGGATTCTCTTGATCACTAAGGAACTGTCTTTAGTAAACTAACCAGCATATATTAATCACCAGTATGATAGGTTAGTTAGGCTAACAAAAGGGGATACAGAAATATTCCATTACCATCAAATAAAAGAAAAACTTCACAACTTCCCAAAATAATAAGAAAGCCCACTTTGTAATTGAAACTGATCCAGGATCACCTCCACACAGTGCCAGGACATGACTGCAGTTCCCCAGTGCCACTCAAGTTTCCTCCACCTAAAGGCCATACCTCCCAACTTTAATTTTCCCAAACGACACTAATTGTCTTTAAGACATGTCTCCTAATATTTTAAGTATTTTACTCTTCTGCCATAGATTTTGGACTCCAATCACATATTCTGTAGGTCTCTGAGTTTTTTAAAGTCTTATTTCCCCTCTATGTATCTGCACTCTCTGGTTGGCTATTTGTGGCTGAAATAATAAAACCCAGAGACAGATATTGGGGTGCATCCTGAAGATCAGAAAAAGCAGCCAGTCACTAGAGAGCTCTTGCCTTTTTGAAATCTTCAGACTGAAAGAGAGCGAGTTGCTGTCTCATCTCGCCTTATATTCCTCTCTAGTGCTGGGATGAAAGGCATGCATCACCGCCCAGCCTCTATAGCTAACTAGTGTGACTGCTGGGATTAAAGGTGTGTGCCACCACTACCTGGTCTGTATGACTGATTAATTAGTGTGGCTATTTTGTCTTTAATATTCAGGCAAGCTGTATTAAAATACAAATGAAATATCACTACAGCTGTTAATACCTTTAGGGAATTATCATCAGATACTATATTTTTAACCCCCTAATGTTCTTGTTTCCATAAAACATCTTTATTTAAATATAACTCAATTACAGTATAATTAACCCTTTAAGGCACACAATTCAGCATGTTTATCATACAGGCTCCACATCTGTTACCATCATGTTGGACCACTCCACTTCTGTTAGCATACACTGCCTAGTTTCCCCAGATCCTCTTTCTCCTAGGCAATAACTGTTGCACTTTCTGTTTGTACAGATTTGCCTATCTGTACAAATAAAGAAGAATCACAATATGCATAATTCTGTGTCTGGGTTATTTCACACAAAGCAATAATTTTAAGGTATATGTTGCACCATGTACCTGTGTGTTGTAGAATATTTGTATACTGTGTGAAAATGTGTTTCTGTGATAGGTGTAATAAAAAAAACTAAATGACTAATAGCTAGGCAGGAGGTATAGATATGACTTCCAGGCAAAGAGAGAGGAAGTAAGAGGGATGAATGTAGGCTCATGGGAGATGCAAAGAGATGCAGAACAAGCTGGGTGTGCAGAGAGGTAACAGCTGCCAAACAGATGAATAAAAATTGGTTAATTTTTAAGAGCTAGTTAAAAACAAGCCTAAGCCAAGGTCAAGCTTTCACAATTAATAATAAGTTTTCATGTCATTATTGGGGAGGGACAGAAAAAGACTCATTACATTTGGCATTCCAAAACAAGGCACAACCACATGAACAGAGATGTCATGCCAGCCAGCACTGCCACAGTGCAACCTGGGCCTCTTAACATGGGAACAGCTATGAGACTGGATGAGATATGATAAGTCATGTTGGTTACAGAGTCCTCATGACTTATTATTACATGTCATCCTTTCATATGGATAGATATTTATATTACTGTAGTAATAGGAGCGTTGGGTGCCGTTCTGTTGTATTAGGAGCGGCGGGGCTGCGTCCCCAGCACCCCAGCTGCCTGGCTAGCTTATGCCCGAAATAACAACACACAAACTGTATTCTTTTAAACACTGCTTGGTCCATTTCTATCTAGCCTCTTCTAGGCTAATTCTCACATATTAATTTAGCCCATTTCTAATCATCTGTGTTGCACCCCAAGGTGCGCTTACCGGGAAGATTCTAGTCTACGTCCATCCTGGGTCGGAGCTGAATCGCGTCTTCCCAGGAGAGCGGAGCTTGGCGTCTCTGTTTGAGGCGTCTTACCTCACTTCCTCTTCCTCCCAGCATTCTGTTCTGTTTACTCCACCCACCTATGTTCTAAGCTATGAGCCCAAGCAGTTTGTTTATTACTTAACCAATGAAATCAACAGATTGATATATGACACTCCCACATCATATTACAGTTTGGTTATGCAGTACAAATGGACTTATAAAGTTGAAAGATGCCTTTCATCTGCTCAAACAAAACCAATCATCTTTAACTGATTTGTGCACAGTGCATATTCCATACTTGTGTTAGTGCAGATATACATCTTAAAAGTTTGCATGTTTTCAGAAAGAAAAAAAAAGACCAAAAACTAATTAAGATGAGCAGCCCAGGTGATTCAGCCTCTCAGAATGCCTCTGTTGTAGTTTCCTCAAAATTCTGCATCCAGAACAACTTCAAAGTTGCTAGCTGAGATGGTCCAGCCTCTCAGACTATCTAACCAAGACTTCAGATAAGCTCTATACTTTTCCATAATACAGAGACTAAACAAAAATAATAAAGCTAGCTCTCCTAGGACTTGACAATTATCCCAATTTTCTCAGGGTCCACTAAAGATGCTGTCACCGCAGAGAATAGAAAGCAGTCTAGAGAACATGACAAGAGGTGGGGCAGGTGGTTTTTGGTCATTAAATGGTTTAGAGATGTTTATCATCATTTAGGGAGGGTAGACTACAAGTTGTTGGTGGTCATGGTCAAGAAAAAGACTGAACAATGAAAATTAGATTCAGGGATCTCTTTCTAAAGGTAAAAATGATGAGATAAACGTATAGATTATTGAGTCTACTTTTGAACTAAAAACAACTACTAGTCTCAAAAAATTTACATTGGTATGAATTTTTATATAATGCTAAAATTTAAGGTCATTTTTATTAGAAAATATTCCATACATGTTAGGTATGTTTTCAAGGTCAGAGATATATTTTAAATAATCAGGATCTTCAAGCATATAAATTTAAGGTTTTCTATATACACATGTATACATATACATATATATACACACACACATATATATACATATATATACACACACAAATATATGTTTTTATTTTGTTTAAGGTACTGTATCGTTGCTCATTTAACAATGTAATGTAAATTTCTAGTCCTTGAAAGTTATTATTACAAACTACTTAGGATAATTAATAAATATAGATTAGTACTTAGTCATATAATAAATTTGTGGCCATGTTAGGTATGTTTTCAAGGTCAGAGATATATTTTAAATAATCAGGATCTTCAAACATTTCAGAGACTTACATAATATGGTATTTAAGATATTTTAATGACACAAGGCTTTTCATGAGAGTAAGACATGTCTGTTCCTGGCAGTACCAATTTACTTCATACAAGCATGATGGGAACTGAAGAAAACTCCATATGCAGTTTGCTTTTATTGTGGCAAAGACATCCATTTGGGCAAGAAATGGCTATGGCCTCAACTTCTGACTATATGCTGTCCAAACTGGACAAGCAGGACACAAAAGAAGGCAACAGCTGAACTTCATCAAGACAAGGTAGGACAGTCCTTCAAAATTCCTGTTTCACAAAGTCTGTGAGATAGTCTAGGCCTGTAGGTCAAAGATGGATGCCCCAATATTACAGAGGAACCTTGGATGACTGTCCAGACAGCCAGATATCTTTGTCATTTCTATAGTTTAGGAAGTTGCTTGCTTTGTACTTTCTGTTTACTCAGGTAATATTATATCCTTTTTGGCTCTTTGATGAGTGTTGAAGACTAGACCAATTTTCTTGCTACCAAATTCAAAACAAAATTTACAAAAGAGATGTAAAATTTATAAAGACTGAGAGATGTAAAAGCCTAACCAGTTTATCTAAGAAAGTATTTTGAGGTCTAAAAGAATAGTTTTAGGTTGGTAATTTAAATTATGATAACAAATGGTTTACGTAAAAAGCTGTGGATTCAATAAGATATAATAGATAATACAGTACTGTCTATGAATTTTCAAAATACTACACATTGGACTACACAATGGACTACACATTGTAATTGTAATTCTTGCTTGATAATTATTCTTAATGTATATAATTTTACTATACTAGAGTTAAAAACTTCCCTTTTTATTTAGACAGAAAGGAGGAAATATTGCAGAATATTTGTACACTGTGTGAAGATGTGTTTCTAATTGGTCTAATAAAAAGCTAGATGGAGAATAACTAGGCAGGAGGTATAGGTGGGATTTCTGTGCAGAAAGCGGGGTAGTCAGAGAAATGAATCTAGGCTTGCAGGAGATGCGAGGAAAAGCAGAACAAATGGGGTGTGCAGGAGGAGAGGCAACAGCCACAAGCCACATGGCAGAATGTAGATTGCTATAAATGGGCTACATAATAAAAGTTAGTAAAAACAAGCCTAAGTTAAGGCCAAGATTTCAAAATAAATCTCCATGTCATTATTCTGAGAGCTGGCAGGCGGGACAGAGAAAGTTATACCTATGTTCTATTCTTTTTTTTAAAGGAGCCCTCCAGATTCTATTATATAGATACACATTTGGCATTCAGCAGCTAATATACTTTGGGGTTGCTTATATTTATCTTTGTATCCCTGCCAGCTCTACCACTGGTCCTTTACAGCCACACTTGTGCTATTTTGTTGCAGTTTTGATTTGATCTTCCCTG